TTCACAAAGGTTTGTTCGGTCTTAAATGAACAAGATTATAATTATATTACGTTAGTTATTTTACCGAGTACTTATCATCACCATCATCGTAGTTGAAATCAAGCATGACGAGACAGTTCATTTTCTTTAGGAGAGGTGCAGCTGTTGTGCTCGCTGTTGTAGCGATAGTAGTACTTGAAGATACCGTGGAGCTCACGGTTGATCCAGCAGTAGTACTGACAGTTGATCCAGGAGTAGTGCTGACCGTTGTTCCAGGGGTAGTGCTGACAGTTGATCCAGCAGTGGTGCTTACAGTTGATCCTGCGGTAGTGCTGACAGTTGATCCAGCAGTAGTGCTGACAGTTGATCCAGCAGTAGTGCTTACAGTTGATCCGGCGGTAGTGCTGATAGTTGATCCAGCAGTAGTGCTTACAGTTGATCCGGCGGTAGTGCTGACAGTTGATCCAGCAGTGGTGCTGATTGTGGATCCAGGGGTAGTGCTGACAGTTGATCCAACAGTAGTACTGACAGTTGATCCAGCAGTGGTGCTTACAGTTGATCCAGCAGTGGTGCTTACAGTTGATCCAGCAGTGGTGCTGACTGTTGTTCCAGGGGTAGTGCTGATTGTAGATCCAGGGGTAGTGCTGACCGTTGAACCAGCAGTAGTGCTGATTGTGGTTCCAGCAGTGGTGCTGACTGTGGATCCAGGGGTAGTGCTGATTGTAGATCCAGGAGTAGTGCTGACAGTTGAACCAGCAGTAGTGCTGACAGTTGATCCAGCAGTAGTGCTGATTGTGGATCCAGGGGTAGTGCTGATTGTAGATCCGGGGGTAGTGCTGACCGTTGAACCAGCAGTAGTGCTGACTGTTGATCCAGCAGTAGTACTGACAGTTGTACTTGCTGTTGTGCCAGTTACCAAAGAGCTTGATACTATAAGTTGAACCAATTGGTCAGCTTCCGCTTGAGAGAAGTCTTTAACAGTCATTATATTTTTTTTGTCGATTCCGATGCCGCTCAATACAGCATCTGAAAACATTTAAACCGTTTGGAAGCTTTTGAGAGTTTCTTACTATTGATCTGAACTCCAATCCATAGACCTATGTTTCTGTTGGTGAGCTTGTTCAGCGAATCAATACTGAAAAAAGGTTCAATATGCTACAGATTTGAATAACAAACGCTTTTACCTTCCATAAAACAGTATGATACATGTGTTTCCACCGGGGAACGTGACGCCATTCAGATCATTTATCAAACTGAAAAAAACCTGTTTGTTTTGAGCGTTAAAAGGTTTTAGCTAGTATGAAAGAACAAATCCACTCACTCATTGGCATTGAAATCATTTCCCAAGTCTTGTTCAGGATATAACCCTTGTAAGTCTTTGTCAAAATCTGCCTTCTTAACAGTGGTAATCTCGTCTCCGTCAAACGGTGCACCAGTTTTACGTCCGAACTGTTTCGGTAATCCGTACCAATCAACAACAGTACTTTCAAACAACTGGTCAGTGAATGTCTTCACAAAGGTTTGTTCGGTCTTAAATGAACAAGATTATAAT